ACAAATGTCAAGAGAGTCCACTGGTCCGTGGCGGAAATGCTGCAAGGCACACTTGTGAATGACATGCATTTGTGGTTTTCATGGTCCTGCCCCCTCTCTCATCACTTTGCAGCATATAGGGGGTTCAACAAGGAAAAGCAGCTGATGTGGCTGCTAGTGGGGTGGACGGAAAAGATGAAGTTGAAGGGTAGTGGTCAGGGAGTGACTATTTCTCTATTTCTAATGGAAAAGTGTCAACTGACCACATTGTATGTGGGAGGCCTTGCAATTGACAGCCAATTTGGTGTTCTGATCTTCATTTCATGAAATCCTTATACTATGTTTTAGTACTAATTAGGAAGTAACATTTGATGGGGTGGAGGCATGGGGACAGATTTTGGAGAAATAAACACACATCTCTATGTCCCATCATCACTTTGGTCAATGTAGATTGTCAGGGAGAAAAAATTGAAAAAGGAGACATTTATTAAGTAGGTGAAAGGCTGTTTTAGGGGTACAAAAGATAGGGGATTTTCCCATGTGTAGAAGCCACTGGGGTTTTCGTTGTAATTATGAGAGAGGCCTAAACTTTCTTCTTGCCCTTTCATGGCTCCTGTGAAGAATCTGTGGCCTTTCCCAAGACCAGGGCAAGAGGGGGCCTTCCCTGCATTTCCCAGCAGATGCCTCGGATGGCTAGTTCACACCCACAGCTGAGATTCTTTGAGCATTATTGTGGACTTACATGAAGTGGCTATGGAGTTTCTAAGCTAGAGCAGCAGCATTTGTAATTAGTTATTGATTGAGAAAAAGGCTTCCTAGAAACAGCAAAGCTTAGTGGGATGAGTATGAGCATAGGAGGCAGACAGGCTCAGACTTGTTTCCTGGTGCCTGTCACTAGCAGCCGTGCGACCATGAACAGGCTACTTTGCCTCTTGGTATCAGTTTCCTATTCTGTAAAACAGGGAGAATGATTACAGCATAAGGTGACTGAGAGGTATGAATTAAATATGGTACCCAGAGTTCCCAGCGGTATATAGACCCTCCAACAATCTGCAGACCTCAGATGGCTGGGGCCACATGTCATCCCTACCATGATAGGTTAGAGGTGTCTGGAGAAGGACTGGAACAATAAGCTTTCATTCTTACGGCTTCTACCTAGAATTTAAGCTAACTAAATGGATCATTCTGAAAACAGAACCCAAGTAAGACCTGATTTACTTGGGTAAATCAGAGGGAAAATGTGGTCTGGTGGGAATGTAACACAGATCAGCAAGTGCAAGCTTCAGGTCTCGGATCTCTCCCGGGAAAAGGGACTTCCCTGTGTCTTCATCTGCAAATGAGAGGAAGAGAGCAGTGGTTTCCAAGCTGTGTTCTGAAGTACCCAAGTATCCCCCAGGTACCTCAGGGTTCTGGGATATATTCCTTAAAATTTTTCTAAGAAAATATTTTAACCTATTAATCCAGGCTCTGGAACCAGGCTGACATGGCTCAAATTTCAGCTCTCACACATGTGACTTTGGGCAAGTTGTTGAATGTTTCTAAGACTCAGCTTCTTCTATTGAAAGTTGGGAATAATAATACTATCTGCTGAATAAGTTTGTTGAGAAGATTAAAGAAGTTTACACATGTAAAGAAAGCCCTTAGAAAAGGGTGCAATTACTTTCTCTCTCTTTCTCTCTCTCTCTCTCTCTCTCTCTCTCAATAAATACTAGCTGTCACTTTCCCAGCCACTGGACACTACTAATCTATTAATTTGTTATGGCAGGTAAACTAGTTTCTATGCCAGACTAGAACAAAATCCTAGAACAAAATCCAAATGCTTCATCCTGGTCTACAACAGAGGTCAGACAACTTTTCCTGTAAGAGCCAAGTAGTAAATATTTTAGGGTTTGCAGGCCATATGGCCTCTACTACTGGCTTTTTCCCTTGTATCCTAAAAGTAGCCATAGGTGATATGTAAATGAATGAATGTGGCTGTGTGCCAATAAAACTTTATAGCCATGATTATCATTCATAAAAAATATTGTTCTTTTGATGTTTTTCAAACATTATAATTGTAAAAAACATTCTTAGCCTGTGGGCCGTACAAACACGGGCTCTAGGCCAGATTCAGCCTGTGGACAATAGTTTGGCAACTCCTGGTGGACAGGACCCAGAGTTTTTGGGTCTGTCTGCCTCTCCAGCCTCATTCCCCTCCCTTTCTGCCATGCTTACTAAGCTTTCTTGATCCCTTCTGTTCTAACCCAGCTGGCTCCTTTCCACTTAGGGGCTTCTGTACTCATTCTGGCTTTCTGGAACCCTTTTCATTTAGCTCTTCACCATGACCAACTTCTACTCAGCCTTTAATGTCAGTTGAACTGCCACCTGCTCAGGGACATCACACCTGACCATCCTATCTAAAGTTGTAACCCCTCCCCCCCGCCCACCCTGTCTCACATCGCTCCCAAAATTACTATCATACAACCCAGTTTTTTCCCCCTAAACAGCATTGATCAGCATCTGTAATTACGTATCGTATCTATTTACATGTTGATTTTCCATCTCTCCACTCCATAAGAGCAGGCAAATGGTTTTCTTATTTGTCATGGTAGCTCCAGCCTGCCACCCTGCTAGGAACATAGTGTTCAATCAATACCTTTCATACAATGAGTTAATAATAACTGATCTTCTTACCTTGTAAATTGTGATGAGGACAAAATAAGAATGCGTTTTTAAAACTATAAAGAGTTATACAAAGGGAAGGTACTAAGGGAGCCTCTCAGACAAACCACAAAATTCAGCCAACACACACACTTTTACCATTGTCCTGTTATTACAGAAGCTAACTTGTGGGGAGAATAGTCAAGTCNTCACGCTGGCTGCTGGCTACACACGGTAGCCCATGGCAACCCACTGCAGCAGGGGCTGCAGCCTACGCCATCGCCGGCGACTCACGGCAGCGCAGCTCCAGGTTGAGCTGTTGTTCAGCATCTTAGCTGTGAGGGCAGTGTCACTGGCCCTCATATGTGGGATCCGAACCGGGGCCCTCTGGCGTCCCAAGCCCGTTCTTAACCATCGCGCCACTCGGCCGGCCCAATAATTTTTTTTAAAACATCCATTACATAAATAATCAGTAAATTAAACTCATTTTGATTTTGTACATGCTTTTGTAATGAAGTGTCATTAAAAAAAAAATCTTTGTCACCAAGTCAGCTTTTGTGATTTAGCAAGAAAATTTAATCTTTGGGCAGACCTTGAACTCACACTTGTCTCAGGGGTGGTCATACTCACCCGACTCATTTATTGTTATGTGCCATTTTCCCCTGACAGTTTACCTGCTGGTTACATCTTAAAGTCATGTTGAAAGTAAGCTCCTAGGACTAGAGAACTTCTTTATGTCCTTTTCATCCCAAAGCTCTTTATTTGGAGACCAAAAGGAAAGATTAAATAAAATTATTGTAGTTCCACTAGTTCCATCTAAAAACTCCTGTTCCCTTCACAGTATGATGCTAGTTGGTCACATTGACCCTGATCCTGAGGCTTAGTAGAATCTTCCTGCTCTGAAGTAGTGTCAAGCATAATAGGTTATTTACTTATTTTTTTTAAATATCACAAGCTTTAAGTCCATGGTTTGGTCTTCATTTTGCTGCTCAGAATCCAGGGCAGGTTACCATGGGAGGACACCATCTTTCATTGCACTCAGAGTACGTTTTTCCTGTCCCAGTAGTCATGCTCCTTCCCATAAGCTGTCCACTGAGGTAACATAGTGGTTGCCTTGAAATCATATTTTCTATTGCAGGGAGCACTACACAATGCTCTCTGGTATATGAGCATGTTCTCCTTTTAATTTTAAATGTGCATTTTTCTTCCTCTTTGTTTTTGCATCTGAATACAACTGTGTGATGTAGTTCATGCAGCTCTTAGAATGGGAAGCTGAGAAAAAAAAACATGTCAAAGATGAAAATTTATTTTGAACAGCCCTGCACCCCTTTATTTGAAACACNATTATGCAGGTGATGTGAGTTTAAGGGATCTAGTGGCCAGGATCATAACTCAGCTTTATCCGACTTGTGAATCAGGGCTCTTCCCTGGAACAATATGAGGTTCTTCGCCAGTGACACACAGACCCACTGGATTGCCCCACAACAAGATGGCAACCTGTAAGCTAAATAAACCTTGGCATCTTTTCATGGCCAGGAGCAAGCCATCTGGGTTTTACATGTGTATTTCTGGTGAAATGAACTAATCCTCTTTCTTCAGAAGGAAGACTGTTTTTTTGGTCCTCAACTTAAAAAAAAAAAAAAAGACATTTTGCTGATTGCAGCTTAAACAAATCCAAAGCACACAGATTCATTTCCTCTGATGTGTGCAGGCAGCCTTTACATAAATCAGAAAAGGGCAAAATGAGTTTGGAATCTGTCAAGCAGAGAACAGCTGAGAACCAGCTACAAGGCTAAACATAGCTTGATCTTTTGTCAGATACGAGCATTAGCTGTTATGTTTCCTGAGGAAGTATACCCTGCCAGGGTAGGAGCCAGTCGTGTCAGTGAAAATCTGCATTCGTGTCCTGAGCATACATGTTCACACATGGCCTATTTAAAATCTATTTGCTTAACACATCATTACTTTAAAAATGGGGCCTGTGGATTTTAGTAGTGTGGAACCTACTTTTGAGCTGGATTTTTCCCTCACACCCAAATTCTTACTCTATGGGTGGTTCCTAGTACACCTCGAGGTGGGTACTGGTGAGGGATGAAGGCTAGCACATGGGGCAATGGAGCATTTTGGAGCCTGCTTTCTACTCTTGCGTGGGTTTTCACTTCCTCAGCTTGGATGCCTCAGGGATGCTTGACTAGAAGGAACCAGGGACCCACAGTGCTGCAGGGGCATCCTCCCATCTCCATCAAGAGAATGTGTCCCCGTGGCCCTCGGAGAGATAAATCACATTCTTAATGGACATTTACAAAACAATAATGACCATAGTAATGCCTAAAAACATGAGAGGAATAGAGTCCACTCAGAATTTTAATATGAGATCGCTCTGGATTGACTGAAGACACAGTTCTTCTTTATTAAATCATCGATGAACCACTTAAATTGAGATGCTCATGGAATGGAATGAATTAATTACAATGGTGCCAGAGCTATATCTAGAGGAAGAGCACACAGCCGAGAAAGCACAAAAGCCACAGGTAGTTTACAAAGAATTTGGCAATACAATTAGGTGTGGTTTCTTTTTTATACAGACCTCTTTCTTCAAATAAATACACCTGAATTACATAGAAAAGAAATGATACAATAGCCTTATAAATGAGAAAGAAACCAATATACCTCGAAAAACAGCAGGTTGAGAATGATCTGTGCATAACCAAACGCTTTGGATGGTGTTCTCATCTTGAGTAGCAATCAAAGAAAGAACCAGTACACATTTCCAATTATACATATGTATCCTGTACAGAGTCCAAGAATAGTTAAACAGCTGCAAAATTCTGATTTTTGTGGGAGTAATGGCAGCTAAGTGGTACCGTGTAAAACATTTGTAAAAACTGAATGTATTTTAAGTTTGACTACTCATCACTATAATTTTAAACCTACATGCACTAAACATAATATTTTATGTATTTAAAGATCAGGTTATTTCCTCTGTTTTTAAAGGCAATTTTTTTCCTTCCCTTGACTTTTCATTACAACTAGTCACTTTCCTAGAAAAATTCAATATGTTGAAGTATTAAAGAGAAGCAAATCCAATTTTAATCCTATGTTTAAAGATGTAAAACATCTGCCACCACCTAACAAACCCCCCCCCACCTTTGTAAAGTGAGTATTAACCTAAATAGATGCTAAATCACTCCTTTCCCCACCCTCCTCTGCCAGTTTCATCCCTCCTGGCAAGGCAGCTGACTAGCGCCTGAATTCTCACACGTGTGCAGGACTACAATTTAAATGCAAATAACCTTGTGCCTCATTATCTGAGAAATTCGTGCAGACACAGTACAGTTGTGATTGTGCCTGTGAAAATTAAAGGAGGTTCATCTGCATTCTAACACACGCATTACTTAGAGTAAATTCAAAAGAGCAATTCATCACTGCTTTCAGATTAAACACTGGCGTGACAGGGTGCCTAGGTTACGGAGGAATGCCTCCGTTTTTACTACACAGGGATGCCTTTCTATAAAGGCAATTGAGATAGGAGTTTCTTTCACTGTAGCTCTTCAGTTAGTTCCCAATGACACTAGGTGATTGAAATAAGAGGCTTTGTTTAATACAAACGCAGTTCGTTGAGTGGAAAAATACATTATGGTAATGCTAAACACAATTGGAGGACAATTATGCATTCCATATACCACTGACAGGAAAATGACCACATCAGCCTAAAATGCAAGAAAATCATCAACAGTAATTTATCAAACTGACATCACTCCAGAAGATATTATTTTTTATTTTTATTTTTTGCAAAATCATCTTTCAAATATAAGGTTATTTTAAAATAATTCTTTGGTTAAAGTATAATTCAAATAAAAAGTAGAAACTCTTGGAAGACTTTCACTACTGGGTGAAAAATACCTCCCTCTTTTAGCCATCAGATGGCCATTTAATCAGCCATTCAGATTCTATGAATCTAAATGTAATGGAAAACACTGTATTCTGAACTCCATACTGGGGTGAAGCAATAAGCTCGTAGCTACCGGTGCAGTGATGGAGAAGAGAGCCTGGGAAAATGAAACTCCCAGCCTGTGCATTAAAATGTGCCAATTACTCTAGTCCGCAGAGGAATAGATGTAGCATTTTAAAATCACAGAAACCAAAGTCCTATCGATGAATAATACTGGGGTATTAGCGGATTGATGTAGCACACTTGTACAAGCAGTGAACTGTTTCAGACTTTCAATCCCAGATTAAATCCTTCAGTTAGTTTCATCTCAGTTTGTCTACAAACTGAGTTTGTCTCAGTTATATCCACATAACTTTCTACACTAAAAAAAAAAAAAAATCCTCTCTATGAGAAACTATTTGGTTCTTCTTATCTGGCATTTCCCAAATTCACTCCTTCCTTCCTTCCTTCCTTCCTTCCTTCCTTCCTTCCTTCCTTCCTTCCTTCCTTCCTTCCTTCTTTCCTTCCTTCCTTCCTTTTCTTCTCATTCCCCTCATCAACATTTGTTCTTAAAAAGCATCAGGCTCAGTTAAAAAAAAATCAACAGCCTGAACTTCATGTTGTAATATCAACCTAGAAATTGTAGATTAATATGAAATCACGTTTCTTTTAGTACACAAAGATTTAACATTATTGCCAAAGAATATCTCAATTAAAGTCCAAGTGTTGTTAAAATGGTAAATGTGAAAAGAGAATTTAATGAGAATTCATATTACTCAGGCCATTTTGATAAATAATCTGGATAATTAAAGTGGAGGAATGAACTCTTTGTTTACTCAGGGTTTTCCACCTAAATTATTCAGAACATGATTTCAGATCTCTGCCTGCTTTTGTTCATGTAGCCTAAGGTTCTGTCTGTATTGAACAGTGGATTGTAGCCTAGGTAAACTGACCTATCAGGTCATCATAGGACTAAGACAACCTAGAGGGAGAGAGCATAACCTATTCTGAATTTTGTTCTGTGTAAGTACAGACACAGCCCAGAACACACTGCTACTATTTTGAAGGAAATCACATGTGAGGCATTCAAGCATTATTCTGAGCATTAAAAATCCATGAATATTTGTGGAGACTTTAATAAACATTATAGATCTGATTAAACAGTGGGTTCATTTCTTTACAGATAAAAGAATGAAGGGCAGGGACATTACATTAGCTGTAATGTGACATTTCCCTTAAAACCTCTAATGGGAATATTTCCCCCATTTTAAGGTTAAAACATTTATATTAATCAATGATGCCAGCATAGAGTTATTTCTAGACCCACAAGCTAAATCAGTGTGTGTGCAATGCTAGATTTCTTAAAATGTAAAATTCATGACATTTCTTTAGAAGACTTTTAAAAACCCCAGCTATAATCCTCTTGCTGCTTAACATAGATAGCCGGCATCCTTTTACTCCCTTTTCAGGGATCGTCAAATTCCCATTTCAAATAGAGGCACAGATCTATTTTTATATATCATATATTTTATGCATTGGGGTTTTGAAGCTTATTCAATGCTACAATGTCTATTGATTTGTTTTACACTAATGTTCCCTTTAAATGGCTGGGATTTCATTTTGCACACATATTGTACACAATGAACTAGACTATACCAGACTATTGTCTGCTGTCGTCAGCAGTCAGCTAGTCACACAATTAAACAGACATTGATAACTGATGTTTTGGTTTGATTGTCATTTATTTTTATTTTAAATAAACTCCCTCTGAATTCAGGAAGCAGGTGTGATGAAAAACCACAGGATGTGGCTCTCCCAATTTTCCTTAAGTAGCCCTACCTACATATTTTAAATTATCATAGAAAAACAAACAAACAAAAAACGACAGCTCAAGTAGAAGTGCAGTTGTGACTGTCATCATTTAAATTAGTTCCCTGACTTCGTTATACATCCCTGGTATACTTGATGCGTTTGTGGATGTCCTGTTATGATTGACAGACGGTATGTAAGTGGACAACGACTTAACCCTTGGTATGATTTCGAAAGATGTCCATATTGCACAAGAATGAGCTTTTTGCTGACTCAAATAAGGTATCTAAGACACATCCTTGCAAAATGTCAACTTCCTTTACTAGTTACCATAGTCCAGACTCTAGGGTCAAAGGCGAGCAACCATGGTGCTATGGCTGTTCCAGTTACAACATGGATAATTCCAAGCCACTTTATATGTTGTAAGCTCTTTGCTCCTTCAGCTGAGTATGTCACACACTGATCGTATCTTCCGCCTAGGTATCCAAAAGTGCTTTGGAGAGCAAAAGTCCTTTGTCTCCCCGTTTCATATGTAGAAGCAAAGGGGGAAGGGCAGTTGCAAAAAGTTGTAGCCAGCTGCTCTAGAGAAAATGTGGCGGTACCAGAGTAAATGTTAGCGTCCTTAGGCAGGTGACTGGAGCCAGCAGCACTGGTATATGGGTCATACTGAGGACAGAATTTGAAGTGTAACCTAAGAATAACTCTCTGCGGGGTATGTTTTCTGATAAGCTGAAAAGAATTCCTCAGCTTGGCTTTGCCTAACTGGAACATGGAGTTAAGAAAATCCCATCACCAAACTCGCAGCTCAGTGTCCCTCCAGCTGGATTCTGGACTTACTCTTTCCTTCTGCATCCTTCCTCAAGACGGGCTGGAAGCTCCTTTTCGGAGGACTCTGGGTCCTTGGCCATGCGTAGACCAAAGGAAGAATCCATCCTCTATCATCGCAGTGACTTAAGAAGACAATTCTTGAAAGCCTTGTTAGCCAGGTAAGAGTCCAGAGAGAATGAATTTTATCCCTGAATCAAGTCTTTCTCTTATTCACACAGTCTCACCACAAGAATTTTAAAGCATGAAAGGAAATATGCTAAATTATCCTGAGCTGTCCACTTAGAATATGGTGCAGATTTTCCACTGTTACTAAACACAAAAAAAGACACTTCTCCCAAAGGCTTACTAAAGCCTTTTCTTCTTGTTCACTGATGTGGTTCATTCTTGTAGCAAGGTCTCTCTCCAGTTGAAGCCCCCAGTTGGTCCATGGGTAAGAGGAAGGATAGGTGGATCTGTCAGCTGCCATATTCCAGTTTCTCCCAATTCTTCACAGGAACAAAACCCCAAGTATGGAATCTGAAGTAAGAGTGGTAAGCAAAGGGAAAATAGAAAACAGAGATTTAATGTTTTAACTTTTACATAGACACAAAGACATTCAGGTGGCCCTTGAGAATAAGGAATATTCGTAGGAATTAATAAGGGCTTTGTAGACATGCACCTCCTCTAAAAAAAAAAATCCATCAAGAAAAAGAAATAAATAAAACAGACAAATTAGCAGGAAGACTATTTACATTGCAAGAGGATTCATCAGAAGGATTCATTAAATGGTGAGCTCCTATACTGCAATTAAATACTTATTTATAGCTTGCTTCTTAATAGTGTGGGAGAAAAGAGGACGATAATATATAAGCTAAGGTGCTGCAAATTAATTCCTCATTCCTTAATGGCAAGTCAAGTTAAAAATGAAGCTCAAAAATTTGTGAAATTTTACTTAGACAATGGGAAAGTTTATTCAGTTTTTGAAGTTGTTAATGTGTATCACCAATCTCTTTCTTTCTTCTTCCTTTTTTTTTAGCTGAGCCATCCTGCCACCTGTTGGCAGCTCAGCGGCAGCTCCACTCACGTCAGGACTTGAACCGCTGTTGCTCAAAGCTCA